TATTATTTTTATTCTATTGTTCTTTCTTTCTTCTCTCTTTATTGTTTTTGTCTTTTATTTAGATTTGTCCTCTAGTCATCTTGTCATTCTGCTTTATAACCTGCTATTTTAATTGAACAGCATCTTTGTTCAACTGTTGCTGTTTTGAAATGTGATTAATCAATACAGTTGATATTAACTACAACTAAAACATAAATAGTAAACCAAATATTCATATTTTCAGTGTCCGTAGAGCAGCTATAATGTCTGTAAGACCTGTTTTCAGTTCAGCGGAACGGAACTTCTGTGTCCTGTTTTCAGGAGGTCGACGGAACTTGTGTCCGACTTTGTTTTGGGTCCGTGTGGAAAACCGGCCAATTGGAGCTGAATGAGTCCGTTAATGTGGCCGTACTGTGGTGTTCACAAGCTTTGCTCTTTACTAACATGACCAAACATTTGTTAACTCCAGCGGGAAACATTAAAAGTCACTCAAACTAGCAGCTTCGGGGCTAACATGGCGCTAACTAGCTAACTAGGCTACTAGCTTAACTTTCCAGCAACTTCACCATCATGTCGGGACTTTTAACCAGCCGAACATGCACTCGCCACGTTAGATTAGTTACACGATGCTTCTCAAAAATCTGCCAGCCTGACGAGAACATCAGGAGGTTTATTTCAGAGAACACAGAGGTAGCTGGAGGACAGAGTCTGACCCCGGAGATCAAACTGAGATTACTCACCCCAAACTGCAGGTTCTGGAGAGAGAGACCGGAGCTGTGGCCCTTTGATGACCCCTACTGGGCCATTTATTGGCCCGGAGGACAGGCGCTCTCAAGGTAAGGCATCAGCATAAACAACAGACGGTTTACCTGTGGGAATCCCTGCTGTTAATCCACATTTGACGCCACCTCCCGGAAGGTTCATCCTGGACAACCCGGAGGTGAGTCGGGGTCAGACGGTGCTGGATCTGGGGAGCGGCTGTGGAGCTTCCGCCATCGCTGCACAGCTCTGTGGTGCTGCTCATGTAGTGGCTAATGACATTGATGCTGGTATGAAACTAGATTTATTAACGTTTACCTAGAATTATGTGTACCTTGTTGTCATTAAAAAAAGAAAAAAGAATATATATATTAAAATGTACTGTTAAATAAAACATTTGATGACATGAGAGTTGCCCTGAAATGATCTGCAGCGCTTTTATCCAAAGTGCTTTACAATGTGTTTCTCATTCACCCATTCACATAATATTGGTGACAGAGCTGCCATGCCCAAGGACATTTGTGGAGGGGCTGGGGATCGAACCACCAACCTTGCAATTGGAGGACAACCCCTGAAATGTAGCAACACATTACAAAGTTGCCCTGGAATGCAGCCATACATGAAAACAGGGAGATCTTGTTTAAGAGGACTCCTCTGACGACAGGCTGTTCCGATTAATGGTACATCTGCAGAAGAAATAAAATTCTCTGTAAAGATGAAATAATACCTAAAGACATGCTCAAAGTGGTCATATGTGACTGATTTTTGTAGTCATGGTCATTAAAAGTTGCTTTATATGTTTGACAGTTTTGATCTTCATTTATAGAGCCACACACATCCACTTCAGACCATTCTGATCATACACGCACCATGAAACGTACATATGACTTCCAGGAAACAGGAAATACAGATATGAGCATGTGTCACAGAACGTGTGTCGTCCATGAATCCACACAAACACATTTAAGGGCTACGTATGTCATCAGACTGTTTTCCTCTCAGACCATCACATCCATGTAGGTCACATATGAGTGTCTTGTAGTGTAATATGACGACAGCTTGTTTCAGCTCAAGATATGCGGCAGAAGAACTAAACTTGCCCGTTTCTGTTCCAGTTGCAGCTGTTGCGACCCACATGAACTGTGAGCTGAACGGCCTGAAGTCGCCCGTTTGCGTGACCGACAATCTGATTGGTTCGGAGCCCGACGGCTTTGACCTGATCCTCCTGGGGGACATGTTCTATGACGAGGCCCTGGCCAGCAGCCTTCACAGCTGGTTGGACCGCTGCATCAGAGTCCGTGGCACCAAAGTCCTGATCGGAGATCCTGGGCGAGCGCAGTTTGAGGGACACGACATCCGACGGCTGCTGCATCAGCTGGCTCAGTTTGAGCTGCCCGAGTCTGTCAGAGAGGAGAACTACGGTCTGACCTGCAGCAGGGTTTGGTGCTACCATCCTGAACTCTGAGGACCAGAGAGGATCGTCTGCACTCAGTTAAATGTGATTAATATGTGACATGTTCTCATCTGAATAGGACTCAATGAGGAGCTGTGGGATTGCTTTGTTGGCATTTTCTACTCAGAGTTTATTTGGAGTGCCGATACCAACAGCTGTCCCCTTTGAATGAAGGTTGTGTGAAGTTTGTGCAGCAGTACATTTATATGTGGACGTTAATGTGACACAGCTTGGAAAGTTATTCAACATTTTTTGTAGAGTTGATTTGATGTTTAAATTAAATTGTATTATCCTGTGTGCTATTGCTTCATAAATAGTACCAGAATTCAGAACATCAGTAGAGAATTCCACAGGTTACTTAGAAGAATACAAAAACTTATTGTCTGCCTCCAACAACAAGGACGTAAAGATCTATTTGAGGGACTGTTGTGTCCAACGTTGACAGAGTTTTTATTTAAACTACACCAAAACAATTACTCTAAGAAGATAAAGTGAGGCCTGATAATGACAGAGGGTCCAATCAATGAAGTTCACTTGAGACAAGCAGCTGCAAGAGTTCAATGTGCTCTACTGAGGCAGCAACACAACTGAGCTCGTAGTCCTGCAGACTCTGCAGCGTCTACTTCTTCTTTTGAACCAATCCAGAGGGACCAGTTTCTATAATCACCCAATATTTTGTGAGCTGTTCGGGAAGAGCGTGAGAGAAAGTCTTCACCAGCGCCAAGTGGTGTCAGATTCTGGCACATGGCATGAGTTGTAGTTCCCAGGTAGTCATTGAATAAGCTTGAGCCAAGTTTCTGTGCCCTCTTATCAGCCCCACATCTTTCTTCTCTCATTACTATTGTTGTGTAATTTCACGTGTTGATCCGCGTCGGTGAACCCCTGTGACAGGGCCACTGGTCCAGCTCTCTGTTGAGGGTTAGGTTCTGTCTGCCTACAGGTTCTGAGCTTTTCTAAAGTGGAAGCCTAATAAGTGATTTAGGGAGGGAGGGAGCTGGACAGCTAGGCCTTTGCTGGCTAACTCAGCCCTGTTTAAGCCTGGAGGAGTCCTCTTCCGATGGTACACCAACCCAGTTCAGAGTCCCAGACAGAACCCTCCTGTATCAGAGGGAGATTGAAGGGGTCAAAGGTCCTTCTTGACAGCTTTATGCAGAGATGTCTGAGATCACACAAAAGTTGTTAACAAAGATTCATATGGGTTAGAGTACAATGACTCTGAAGAATCAGCCTTGGTCAAGGATATAATGCACAGAATATAAGTTTATTCAAGTATTCAGCAGAGCAGAACACTGTCACAAACTGAGCCCTCTAGAAAGACTGAAAATGTATCAAAATAGGTCCCCTTTATATAGCAGAAGGGGAGGGCATCATGCCACCCCCCTTTTTCTTTAATTTCTCTTTCCCACGGTGGATTTCTAATGGAGGCAGATTCTTATCACACAATTAGCTTTTAGTGTCAAATTGATGTATTGGGATTGTCATTTGCCACCGGTAGGTTTGCTGATGATCAGCACTTATTTTTTAAAAATACATCTTTATTATCTTAAAAACCTGTTAGTCAGCTTAAGGCTGTCTCATTACAGGATCGATGTCATGTACAGTTTCTTAATTTGACCTTATCACCAATCCCTGGGGACACAAAACCTTTTAGTCAGATCTGACCGCATCCTTCTGTAAACACAGCTGTGAACAGGCTCCCATTACAGCTGAGAGCAAATTCATTAATTTTGTCAACTGAGAGCTGACTCATCAACCTCACATTGGCTTTACAGTTGTCTCACATTGGTCTCACAGTTTTTCTGCCTCCACAAGATGAGATGTCCCAACTCCATCAGATCTGCAGTTATTTTGTGTCTAAATTTGGGAAAGAAGAGGAAGTTTTCTTCAAGCAGGAAACACAAAAGGGTTCTGCTGTTCCTCTTCAGTCAAGCTGCAGATCTGTCGAGACTTCTCCAATTCTCAGAATGCTGAGAACTCCAACGATGTTCAACCAAGAGCTCAGTGAGCATTTCCTGGTCTTCTGGTCCAGACGGTCTCCATTTAAAGCCATCTCTGACTGAAGTCTCTTTGTCATGCCTTTTTTATGCTGTACACAACTCTCCCCCTCCATGCACCTATTCCTATGACACAGTTTATCCATAGCACATACACATGAATACACACACATTTCTAACAGACGCTTCACCTTTAACCCATGAGGAGTTTGTCATTATTAGCTTAGCATCTGATCAATTGTTTGGAAACAGCAGAGAGCACTGTTTGGTACTCACAGGATGCATCTGCTGGTAAAAAGAGGAACCGTTAGCCGCTGGAGTTCATGCTGAAGTCAGTGGCTTCACAAGACATGTTCAGACATGAGCTGCTTTGAGGAAACAATAGCCTCTCTTGTTCTTCTGACATGTTCACCCCTTCTCTCATCTTTAACTATGCAGCTTTAGTTCAATAGTTACAAGAAATCACCTTTAATTCATTGCAGTGTTAAACATCTGATTAAATCTGATTCTTGTTGCGGTAATTTGACACCGCATTGGGTTTCTTCAGCATGTTTTCAACTACGAGTATGCTCTGACTCACATTTCTGACTTATTAGTTAGTAAGTTAGATTCATCTCCACAATAAAGAAAGTTATTGCATTAATTAAAATGATAAATTGCTCGTCCAGTGATATTATCTCTGAGTCAGCACCATAACTGTAATAAACTGTTCAGTCTTTGTGATCAGTCAAAAGTGTCTCATTTCACTTTAAACAGGGAACTACATGTTAGCTTAGGTAACTTGATAAACATCTGATATGTAAAGTGATTGAAAGTAGGCTATAGAAAACACAAGAAACAACTGTATACGCACAAAACATTTATCACTAAACAACGACCAACAAATAACAACAACAACAAACAGAAAACAGAAAATACGAACAATGATGGAAATGCTGGGTGAGAATCTGCAAGAAGGAAGAACAAGAAAAATCCCACAGATGTCTGTTTCCAATATGGCCATTTGGTTGGTTAAGCCAGGGGTACTTAGTCAGGCTCTTTGGACCTTGGGGCTTGATAATCTGGGGGGCTGGAGTCTATCCCAGCTGACTCAGGGTGAAGGCAGGTTCACCTGGACAGGTAACCAGTCTATCACAGGGCTACACTTAGAGACAGACAACCAAGCACACTCACATTCACACCTACGGACAATTTAGAATCACCAATGAACCTCAACATGTTTCTGGACTGTGTGGGAGGAAGCCAGAGAACCTGGAGAGAACCCACGCTGCACGGGGAGAACATGGAGACTCCACGCAGAAAGATCCCGGGTGTCCTCACCGGGACGCGAACCGGTGACCTTCTAGCTGCGAGGCAACACCGAGCCACCTTGCAGCCCTTTACACATTTCTGGTGTATTAATTAGTGATGTTGTTGGTCGAATATGTATCCTCAGAGATCTGAAACTCTCATTTACAAGACAGAATGAGTGGAATGTTCAACATGTTCAAACCAACTGTTTTTGTGAAATTTCCCAGGAAAGTCTTCCCACTGTTCTCTCTAACCTTGACTGAAGACATATCATCCTCTTGCAGGGTGTAAACAAGATCTGCGTTCCAAGAAGTCCTTGACGTTCCAAAAGGTCCTGCCAGGTTTCCAGTATGAATAATAGTATAAAAGAAAAAAACTATCAGTAATCATAGATGAAGGATTCTAATTGGCAGAATGAGCCTGAGGGAGAAGAATACTGGAAACAGGAGTGAGACGTTCCAAATCATATAAACACTTATGTGCCCATTCAGTTATTTGACTAACTCAGATGTTTTTTTTTTTTACCTAGAACACATGTTTGGCTTTTTTTGGGGGGGTTTTCAGGGACCAAAGATAAATCTTGAGAGGCTGACAGTCTGGTGTTAATGCAGTCCCAATCTAATATAATGAACCTGTAGATAGTCAAAAGTGCATGAATCAACACATTTGTCAGCTAGGGAGGCGTTTGTGACTGCAGTGTCTCATTTTGTGACACGTAGCACAAATCTTCACTTTGACACAAGGAATTAGAATCGACTTGAGGTCGTTGTGACTCACAAAACATGTTTTTTGGCCATAACTCAGGAATTTATGCACTAACGATGGCCAGATTTCACACAAATGTCTAATAGGACAAAATGATGAGGTGATGACTTTTTATGTTCAGAAGGTCAAAAGTCAACTGCAAAAAAACCCCAAAACATTTCTAGTTGTTCTTCAGCGCCTTGAGTCATCATCAGAAGGGGAGCGTGTAAAGCAAATAGCCAATCACATGACAGCAACTTTTAGGATATAGACATGCCCAAGAAGACCTGCAGAAGTTCAAACTGAGCGTCTGGATGGGGAAGAAAGGCAGAACGACTTTAGATGGTGCAAAAAGGTCTGGTGGTGTAACTACATCGATATCAGAATCTGCTTATCTACTGTAATTTTCATGCATAATAAGAATGAGGGTTTACGGAGAATGATCTAAAAAAGATGAAGTATCCAGGGAGCAGCAGTTCTCAGGGCGGTACTTCGTTATGGCTGCTCGAGGTCAGAGGAGAATGGCCAGGCTGGTTCCAGGTGACAGACAGGCAACAATAACTTTAAAAAAACTACTTGTTACACGCAAGGTATGCAGAAAACCATCTCTGAACGCGTCTTGATGATGCTCATACACAAATGATGTCCTCGTCTCACTGATGTGTGTATCGATGGCTGGCATGTTCTGATACTCCGAAGACAAGAAACTGCACATGAACTGTGCATGTGCAAACGCAAACTAAGACACGTGTTATCATAAGAACTCATACCTGCAATAGAGGACAAGGTTTACTGGGGGGCAAACATCATAAACCTGACCTCAGGAACATAAGATAACCGTGACATGACCCGGGGAAAAGGTACTGGTTGGCTGGGTGAGTTGAATGTAATAATTTACAGCCATAGGCGCTCCTCGGTGACTGACTGGGTCCACCTGTGCAAGTGCATCCAATAAAACCTCAGAAACTTTTCTTCATAAGTATTTGTTCAACATTGAAAATCTTTTTAACAGTGTCAGCTAAGAACAGGAAACAGAGGTTCCAGTTTGCATGAGGTGCAGCACGGAGGATCGGTGGTCGGCACTGTCATGTGGTATCTGGTATTTCACGTAATGGGTTTTTAAGTGGTCCCCAGGTCAAAGGTTGCATCTGGGTTTGGCATTATGGGTCTTGAAGATTTATGATTGGAGTGACCAGGTTAAAGTTTGCTGAAGGAGATTCATCACACTGTGTAGAGGATGGGACTCCCCTTACGTAAACAACTCCCTCTATATAAGCCAGTGGTTAAGGTTGGTCTGGAGGGAGGTTCTTTGGGGCTTCGAATCCTCTCAAAGGCGTCTGAGATATTGCATTTGTTCCAATAAATCAACCAGATGGTATCTGCAGAGAATTTCTTCATCACCTTCACATCATTGCTACTTAAGAAAAAACTGGCAAGATCCCTGGTTTGGGCCCAGGATCTTTCTGCGTGGAGTCTCCATGTTCTCCCCGTGCAGCGT